TATTTTTAAGGTATTGAGGGTAGTTGTGAAAAGAGATATTGTTAGATATTTGACAGGATACTTACAGTAATCAATACAATAAATTTCAAAGCAAGAAAACTCTCAGTTACAGTGGAGCTTATTTTCATTAATCCCCTCCACCCAGGCAAGTTCGGTTTCATGTTTCAAAAATCTCATCCCTACCCTCCCACTCCCTTGTCATGTTAATAACTTTGGTGCCATTGGCTCAGTGTTTCTGTCTGCTGAAATGCATTCCCTCAATTCCCTATAGAATCTAAATCAGCAGTTTTCTCATTTCTTTTTTTTTGAAGCATTTTAGCCAGCATTTTCATAGATCTGCTCCTATCACAGGTTTTCTTCTCTTAAAGAAAACCTGCAAAAGGTGAATGACTGTTCTTTCAAACAGTTTTTAATAGCTGATGGGGACACATATCTTTTCCCATTAATCATGAACCATCTGTGGAACAAGCTTCCTGTTCTTCTCTGCTTCCAACTCCACTTACTTTTGAAATCTCATATGAAAACAGGTCTTATATCTCTTATATATTCCTAAAATCACAAAACTGAATTTATTCCATTTCAGTTACAAACCCTCACCTAGACAGATGCTTCACAAGTCAGATAAATATTGTGCTCTTTATGCTCATCAATTTAAATAAGTAATTTACATACATAAATATTTTTTCTGAAGTGCACACCTTGTGTGTTACAGGAATCTCACTTTGCCACTGAGATGGATAAGGCTGCTTTAAGTATATTGCATTTATTGGAATCAGAATCTAAATTCCAATTCTTCAGAAGCTGTAAATACGATTTACAAGAAGGGATACTTGAAATGCAGTTTTGAGTGCTTCAGTTAAATTTTTCCACATAGCTGTATCCCCAGCTAATTTTTTGGCTCAGTGTTGAAGTGTTTTTTTTAATAACCCTGAACACTGGGAAAGGAGTGCTGGATTATACAAGCAAGGGCTGGGTACTGTGTGAACCCAGCTGTGTGGCATCTGCTCTGGAGCTTGTTGGTATGTGGATGTTTAGAAGCACAGACAGTTCAGATGTGCAGTTTTCTATAACCTGCATAGGTGTATCTTAACAGAATCCTTTTTGTTTAGTGCTGTGAGTTAAATGAGAAACAGCAGTACAATTACGTAAGTTTCAATGAGTGTCTGGCCTTCTCGTTGATCATTGAAAATGTAAAGACAAAGTGTTTCTGGAAGTATTTATAGTATATGAGTGCATTACAATAAAAGCATTCGTTCTTTCAGAGAATCTGTTTTTCAAGTTTTTACTGTCAGTTCCTTTTTATCATGCTTCTCCAATTCATAGATCTTTTTAGAGAATTTTCTTAGAATTTGCTCTTAGAAAAATACTAAAGTTTGCATGCACTTAAGGATTTTAGAGCATTTATGTACCAGAATTCCACCTGCATCCAGACCTACATGTACACTGCAGCCAAATTTCTATTAGAAAGTTGATAACATCTTGTGGAGAAGTTACTTAATAAAAGTCTTCAGACTTTCAACTTTACCTTCAGGTAAAGCTAAAACCTGACTATGTTTATGAGAGTATTTATCATGTTGTGTCATTTTTGTGGTGAATACTTTGCAAGTCTTGGGGAAGATCCTCTGAAACTTTTAAAAGTACTTCTAAGAATAATTTGTCAGGTTGATAATCCTTATAAAACCTTCTTTGTCTTGGCTTTATTTCACAGAATCAGAGAATTGTAGGGGTTGGAAGGGACCTCTGGAGATCACTTAGTCCAACCCCCTGCCAAAGCAGGGTCATCTACAGCAGGCTGGGCAGGAACGCATCCAGGGGGGCTTTGAATATCTCCAGAGAAGGAGACTCCACAACCTCTCTGGGCAGCCTCTTACAGTGCTCTGTCATCCTCAAAGTAAAGAAGGTTTTCCTCATGTTGAGGTGGAATTTCCTGTGTTCCAGCTACAGTCTGTTGCCCCTTGTTCTGTCACTGGGCACCATTAAGAAGAGTCTGGCTCCATCCTCTTGACACCTGCCCTTTACATATTTATAAGCATTGATCAGATCCCCTCTCAGTCTTCTCTTTTCCAGGCTAAACAGACCCAGGTCTCTCTCAGCCTTTCCTCATAAGAGAGGTGCTCCATTCCTTTGATCATCTTTGTAGCCCTTCACTGGACTCCTTCTGGTAGTTCCCTGTCCTTCTTGAACTGGGGAGCCCAGAACTGGACACAGTACTACAGATGTGATCTCACCAGAGAAGAGCAGGTGGGGAAGATGACCTCCCTTGACCTGCTGGCCATGCACCTCAGGATGCCATTAGCCTTCTTGGCCACAAGGACACATTGCTGGCTCATGGTTAACTTGTCCACCAGGACTCCAAGGTCTCCAAGGACCTTTGCAGCAGGTCATCCCCTAACCTGTACTGGTGCAGGGGGTTATTCCTCCATGGGTGCAGGATCCTACACTTGCCCTTGTTGAACTTCTTTGGGTTTCTCTCTGCCCAACTCTCCAGCCAGTCCAGGTCTCACTGAATGGCACCACAGCCTTCTGGTGTTTCAGGCACCCCTCCCAGTTTTTCCAGGATTCTCTGAGTCTGTCTTTCTCTGATATTGATTGGGGAAATGGACTAGGCATGCTGTGGTACTTTGTAATTTGTGGAGAATAATAGTCCTCTAATCTGATCCATTCCACAGAGCAAAGCAACTGTGTGGTATTTAGAGGGAAACAGGAGGGGAGGGCAGTTCAGGAGAAAGAGGTGCCTGAGTTTTTCAGACAAGGGACATGACAGATGGCTGGAGTGGAGGGGAAAGTACCGTGTAAATCTGAACATTAGTGTCGAGAAGAGTAGCTGAATAGTTGAAGAAACCTGAAACAAAAAAAGGGGTAAGTAAAGAGTAACAAACCAGTAGCATATGGTTTTGATAAACACTTGGTATACTAAACAGTTTAAGTATTGAGTGTATTCACCATGCATGATAAAGCTTGGATGGCGGAAGGACTGACAACGCAGGAGGCATTGTATGCCTCTAGGTGTGAAGGTAGTGCAGCGTGGATGGTCTTGGATAGTCTTCTCTGGTAGTGTGAATAGCCATGGGTTATTGAAAGCAAGAAGACTCTCAGAAAGTAATGAAGAAGGAAGGCTAAACCAGGACATTCTTGAATGTTTTGTAGATTGAATCACCAGTAGAGTCTGGTGCCTCACCATTGTTGTCTTAAGTACTTGAGAGAAGAAGAAAAAGAAAAGAAGTAAGTGGATTGTTTGGAGCAGGTGTTAAGACAGTTATCTGATCGTAAAATGGGCCATAAAAACTCAGAGAGTTGAAAGACAATAATCTTTTTCCAAGTTGAACTTTTTTTTTCTGTTGTTTTTCATTGTTTTGGGGAAGTTGGATTGTCTAATTAGATGGATATTTCATTTGCCTTGGTAATCCATCAAAATGTACTTGACAATGTGGTTGCCTTTCTTTTTCAGTATCATCATTTTCTCCAGAGAGAAAAAAAGTTATTTCTGTCCTTAGATGCTTCTGATTCATTCCATTAGCTCACTACTGCAACTGTCAATAAAATTTCTGTCTTAAGATGTTTTCTTTGCTTTAGTCTATAAATGAAATTGAGGGCATTTCTGAAATGTCACTGCCGTGTCTAGTGTGATGTGTATGTCAGATTACACTTCGCATTATGATCTGAAAATTGTCAGGAAACCTGAATGTGTGCTTTAGTGTGACATTAGTTCATTCAGATCAATTGTTACTGCTGCCAATACCTGATTTTATATAGTGTTTAGATACCTGTAGAAGACAACAACTTTATAGAGAAGGGTTAATACCCTTATCCCTGCTTTAAGATGGTGACTAACAGTGTAGAGGAGAAAAGTTCCTTGTCCGTAGTCGCTCAAAGAATCAGTGCAGAGCTAGGGTTAGAATCTGCATCTTTGTTAAGCAGTTATTTATTGATGGGTTCCTAAAAGTAGTGTGGTATTGGGAGGGGAGACTATGTTTTGGATTAAATATGACTAATATTTTCTTTTTATAAGAACATTGCATAACCTATGAAAATATTTGTCTCAATATGTGGAATTGTCTCTATCCAGATTTTTATTATCCCTACTAAAGAAAAAAGATTGCTTTCTGCCATTGTCTGTTTAGCCAGCTGTAAGCCCTGTTGGACAGATTGCATGGTATGCTGATTAATGATACAGGCCATGGGTGATTAGCCAAGTGTGTAATGAGGTCCATAGCTTCCAGTGTATTATAGAAATGCCATTGATCAATATAACTACATGTTCTGTAGTGTCTTCTACAGAGTAAATTTGGACTTGTGGGAGAAAGTGGTGTAGCCCCTGAAGAGCTGCTGCACACACAGCAGCAGTGCATATTTTTAGAGGAGGCTTAAATTTAATCTAAGGATTTGAAGGTTTGATGGTTGATTTTCTTCCTTGATATTTTTCTTACTGTAATTATGGACATCTCCCTACCACCATTTTTCTTGCAGAATAAGTCCAAAAGGCTTAATATGCATGTGATATTTGGGAGATTGTATTTCTACATGTTCTTAAAAAAGTGTTTCTTTTGTATCCCAGATCCAAGGGCAGGAGGCAGAATAGCTTGATGAATTCTGACAAACAGCATGCTGTTTTATCAAATGTTACTAGATCAAACTGTCAGATGTCAGACTGTACATGCTACTTTTGTAGCTGAATATAATTTTTTCAATATAAAATCAGCACTGGTTAAATGCTTTCCTTTTTAGAGAATGATGAAAATACATAATATGTTTATGACTTTCATTTCACATTTTTAATGCAGTTGTTCTGCTATAGAAATGTTTGGCTTTTTTCATACCGTGTCCTGAATAATCACCAGCATCACTGTTTTGAGGCTATATAAATTCAGGTTGTAGAGCAGAGTTGGTTCATAATTATTTTTTTTAATGAGTTTTTTCTAGAGCAATAAAATGAGGTAGTTCATTCGCTTATTATTACTACTCTATTAAAATTTCTGTAAATATCTCTTTCTAATTTATAGGTAGTAGCTCAATACCAAATTTCTTTCGCATCATGAATCGACAGTTTACTGAAACAGAGTGGGGTATAATCAACTCCATGGGTAATGAATGGATGCAGCTGGATATGTTTTATCGGCACTGGGTAATACTTTTTTTTCCTGTTTATAGACTGCAATGCTATAACCTGCATGTTCTCTTTTGATATATTTGGTTATTATTTTCATTATAGTAAAATTGTATAATTTTTATAGTAACGTGTTCATGTGGAGATAATATTTTAATGGATTTTATATTTTAGTGATTCTTTTCATGTCAGAATAACTTTAGAAGCATAGTACAGCTGACATGTCTAGAAGGATTTATGACTAGTTTTAAACACGTACCCAGAACAAGGTAAAGGGTCCGTGGCTGTGTGTGCCCCTTAGTTATTCTGGTTGCATGTTCGTTGTAATGCAGCAAGTTAGGCCAGGTATTAACAATGCTGATAACTTTTTATAATTGCATCACTCTACCCTGACATTTACAGTAGTACAAATATTAAATTTATTTGGTCTACAGTGTCTGCTCAGAAGTAAAGTTTATAGAACAGTTTGAAAGCAACCAGTGTGAATAAAATATATTTACTCTCTGGTTTAGGCCTTAAAGGAAAGCTTCTTAAAGGCTATTGGAGTTGGAATTGGCTTTAACTTGCAAAGAATTGAATTTAATGTGTCCCCACTGCAACTGGAAATAGGGAAGGTGTATAAGGAGACAAAAATGCTTCTGGATGGAGATAAAGAAGAAGAGTGGACATTTGAGGTAAGATATATTCAAATCGGTTTTTTCAATAATGATAAACAGTCTCAACACCCTATGGTTCTATTACACATCTAAGTTTTTTTTTGAATTGCAGCTTCACACTTCATTCTGTATGAATGAACACATTGAACATATATCAATCAAAACTTAGGTTATAAATCTGCAGCAGTTTAAAGTATTTTTGATGATCACAAGATATATTCATTGTAATGGCTTTTTAGTTTTTCTGTTCCCGGACTTATATTTCTTGCAGTGTATGGTGCTCATTCCAGGGTGTGCAGGAAGCTCACTGAAGCATATCCAGAGCTGACTTCTGAACAGTGTCTGACACTTCTTCATCAGTTGGTCTAGAATGGGACTAGTGATTAGCCCCCTTAGTGTTTATGTTAAATGTTCAAAATGGCAAAGGTGTCTTCAGCTCCTTGGGGTTTCTTTCTTCTTGTCCATACAAGCTGGTAGAAACATGCTTTTGTGGATTTGGAGTTCCAGTGCGCCGATTGGCTGCTGTCTGTGGAAATGGAGAGATGCAAAAAACTTGCCATTGCTTAATTGAAATATGAGTTTGGGCTCAATCTTCTACATGAATGTTGAGTTTTATATATAGTTTTTTACAGATATATATATATATTTATATTTGGTTGGTTTGGCTATATGCAAATACATTGCTTCCAGAGTATGAATTTCAAACTGAGATTACCTGGGTCAATTTGAAACAAATTTGTTGTTGGTATGCAACTGTAAGGGAGTCTTTCACCCTCAGTAAGAGAAGTTAATCCTGGAATAAACAGGAATGAAAACTTCTAAGACTGGCTAAAGCAACTGGATTCACACAGCAATCAGTTCTGCTGGCTGGGAAGGTTCAGTTTCCTTATAAGCTGTCCGTTGTTGAGTGAATCCAGAATGATTTGAAACCCAGACACATCATTCTGCCGAGCCTTTGAAATGAGGTCATTATAAGTCTCAGTGTGCCTGTAGCTTCAACAGCTCTAGTAACGCTTTGATTCTGTGTAGAGAAAAACAAATTTTGATCCATTATATTTTTTCTGGTTTATAGAGAGGAATCTTAAAAAATCATACTCTTTACCTCAGAGGAACTCTGTATGATTGTCATCTTTCTCTTTTTGTTTAATCCTCTATTTCCATTTAAGAACTTGGATTTATTATATAAACTAGTATAGCAATATCTCCAGATGAAAAGGGAAGCAAGCTGGTGCCCTTTTTTTTATGATTTCAGTATGTTTCATTAACTCCTTACCTTAAGGTTTTTGCTGGCCGATAGTAGGGGCCAAGAAAGATCTTCTTCCCTTCTTTATTTGGTTTACATTTACATTTCCCTGAAGCAGCGAAGATAAGATAAAGGGCATATTTTGTTATGTTATATCGTAAGATGCTGAAAACTTTTCTGTGACCACAGAAGATAGGTGAAGTAAGTGGGTGGAACCTTCTGAATTTGTTGTCCATTGGGCAGGCCCTCTGCAGGAGAACAGTCCCGTTTTCTAAAGAGTCGCTGCCTGTTAAATGCAGCTTTAAGCTGATAAAAAATGATTTTATTAACAATATGTAGAAGACCTTACCTATAACATGTGTTAGTTGCACAAACAAGAAGTAATAAAATACATAAATTCACTTCAGAAAAAGAAATTTCTGTGTGTTTAGCTTAAAGCTGCAACATGCTTGTTTGCAGACTTCTGACTGCAGATACAGGCCACTGCTGAATGTGCTGTGCCCTCTGTTCTGATCAGTCTTTAACCTCTTGGACATGCAAAAAATGAAAGAAGGTGGGGAAATAAAGTGATTAAAAGCTGGATGTAGTCATTTTTCCATCTAGACAAACACAAAACACTGCCACCTTAGAACTATATAAATTATTTAGCAACACTTGATGAAACACCTAAATTTTCATAGTATTTTTTTATTTTTGAGGAAGTTATAGAAATTTGCATGATGGGTACAAATGGTTAGATTTCATCAAACCTGAGGTAGCATTCTTTATGCTTGACTTATTTGCAGTCTTGTACTCCAGTAAAGGAATGAAAAAGCTGGTAAAATACTTTATAGTAAGTACACCTATAACTCTTGGAGTCATGTGAAATACCTATTACACTGCAGGATTGTTGGTGTTTCTCATATGCATTAACTATTTGTCCCAATTTAGACAGAATTGAAATAGTCATTTTCTTACTAGCGTTTTGCAGAAAGATACAACAACATGAGCCTGTTGTTTTATTTTTAAGTAGGTGAGGGATACAAATCACTGCTAAATCTGTCAAATAGGCACAGTTTTGGTGCTGAAGAGGTCAGAGTGAAACCACAGTTCTACTCCCACACCAGCACCTATCTATCCGCCAAGACACCCACGTCTTTGCCAGTCAGGTCTCCCAGGCTTGCAGTTGTACTGCTGCTACACACGGCTACAGCAGCTGCTGTCTTGGCTGAGCTGGGCTGAGCAGATCTGAGCTGAGCATCTTGGCACTTTTTTTCTTATATACAGGGCTGTTTAGGAATCACAGAAATGGTATTCTTGCAACTGAAATCCTGGAAATCCTATATAGTTGATAAACCGTAGAGAAGCCTAATGCAGACTGACAGTATTGTTTTAAAAGACATTTTGCTTAGATTAAAAGAGGAAGAAAAGGGCAACTAACAACCTGTCTGAGGAAATAGGACATCATGATGCTTTCTTTTATTATAATATGGTGCAATTAGACTGTTTCTCAAAGAAGTGGAAATTGGAGGTCTAGTAGTAACTCCCAGGAAAATATTTAGACTACTAGCTGATTTTGAGATTAATGATGATAACTAAATTGTTCATTTTTCTAGGTAAAATTCTTGTTATTTTTGACTTCCATTTTAGAAAGTTTGTGCAGAAATTGTGTGCAAATTTTTGGATAAAGAAACAAAAAAACCATTATTTCCCATGCATGTATATATATATATGTTTATATTTTAAAAAGCCAACAGGATTATGAGTTGACTATAGAATAAACATTCAGAAACAGTATATAAAAGTGGGGTTTTTTCTGAGATTAATTGCTCAGGATGAATTCCTAGCCTTTCTAGAGGAAGACTCTTATAAACAAAACTATTAAATAGATAAACTATATAACTAAATATATAGCTATATATCTAAAAACTTTTTTTGAGGAGAATTGATTTGTATTTACAGAGAGCAGTGCTCAGACTGCCGTGTCAGAAATCTAAAGTTGCGATTTGACACGCTGTCTGAAGCCAAGAGTGAGAGAATAATTGCTTTAAGTTTACACTTACGTCGTTGTTTTTCAGAATACCTCCCAGAAATTCACAGTTCATCTAATTGGAAAACAGATAGCTAAGATGGGTTATATGGGTTGTGACTTAGAAGGGACTGATAAAGGGATGCTACAGTCACAAACCTGAATCTGCACAGGGGTGAGATGGTGGTAACCTGTAGTAACCAGTTTAGCCCTGCTAACTTTTTAATGTATTTGCATCCTTGAGCTCTCCAACAAAACTCCTAAAAAGGACTATTGCTTTTTGAATGTCATTATTTTTAATTATTCTAAATGATTTTCCACTATTGTTCTGAATCATATTCTAAACATTTATATAGCCTTTGCTGGAAGCAGAGTAAAGAAAATGCATCTACATTGCCATTTTTCATCTTTACTAGGAAACCCGGTTAGATGACCATCATCATGTTGCCGTGGCTCTCGGGAAACAGGAGGGATTTGGGCAGAAGCATTCCAATGTAAGAAATTATGAAATGTTTTCAGGTGTTGGTAACTAATGATGTGTACATAAACTTAGTCTGATGCTGCTGCTAAAAGTTTGTTATCTCAGATGCAGGGCCAAGGAGAAAGCTTATCCTAAGCACGGTATTAACCAGATTGTTCCTGAACTGCTATCTCTAGTTCTGTTGTGCCTGTTTCAGGAAAGGTCCGGGAGGGCAAAATGGTTTCAGAGGACAGTAACGGGTAATGTCAAATCTGGAATGTATGTGTCCCGGTGTTCAGTGCGTTCATTTAAAAGAAGATCAGGTGATTTTTGTCAGTCTGCTAATACTTTTGTGGGAAAGATGGTTTTCACAGAGGGAAACAGAGACAGTGAACCAATCTGAACTGCTAAACTAATACAGCACCTCACCAAGTTGATTTTAATGGGGGACTGTCAGTGTATGTAGCCCACAGCAGATCCATCTCCCAAACACCATTATGACAAGATAACTCTTGAGACAAGCAACAACAACCAACAGATGGGAAGAACAGCAGTGTTAGTCTTCATTCCATGTGGTCTCTTTATTGAGAGAAGCAACAAAGCTGTTTAAAAGCTTTTCAGGATTTTCTGTGCAATTTAACAAAGACTTTGTCATGAAAATAGCAATAAAAGTCAAATTTGAGGCAGACTGGCAAGTTGTAGCCAAAATAGCCAGACAGTCAGCAAGGGGAAGTGTGACAAATTGCCAGGTTTGTCTGTGGTGTTTTAGTTGTTCACAAGAAAATGGGTTAGTTGTTCTCTGTTATGCAGATACAAAGAGTCTTCCAGGAACTAGAAAAACAATAATTAGTATATGAGTGGATAAAAGGATGAAAGTGCTCATGCACCAATCTTATCATGGTCATAAAGTCTGAGTCTTTGCTCATAGATAACACAGAGGGGCAGACCTTTTAACTAGTGTTGGTTAGCTTAAAAAAAAAGAGATATAAACTGTCTTTGAGGATTTACTGTGGTAAATCAGTGCTCAAATATATCACTGTCACACACCTTAGAATTATCATAGAAAGAATAGACATGGTATCGAGTTATGATAACAAGTCTTTCAATCGAGGAAAGTCTCAAAGGCATACTTGTCCACTGTCTAAATTTGTGATGACCTAAATTTCATTATCTCAATTCACTGAAAAAAGGTCATTTTAAATGGGACAAGTGAGCATTCTGTGACTCCCCAATATGGAAATGCAGTGAAAATTTCTGTACTATTGCATTATGCCTTTTCAGAACTCCTAATAGGAATGCGGAGGAAATGAAAGTGGCCGTCTCTCTAACAGAACTGTAAAAAAAAGTCTTTATTAGCAAGACTGACCTTCAAGAACCCCAGATCCCAGAGATGAGAGGGAAAGGAGCAAGGAAGATGTACCCTTGGTGGAAGAGGGTCAGGTCAGGGAATACTTAAGCAAATTGGACATACATAAGTCCATGAGCCCTTAGGGGATGCAGCTGCTAGGTGTCATTGCAAGGCCACTCTCCATGATCTTTGGTTGGTCATGGTGACTGGCAGAAGTACCCAAAGACTGGAGGAAAGCAAATGTCACTCTACCTTCAAGAAGAAGAACCCAGGGAATTACAGGTGCGTCAGCCTCACCTTGATCTCTGGAAAGGTGGCAGAGCAGTTAATTCTGGAAACCATTTTCAGGCACATCAAGGACAAAGAAACCATCAGGACTAGTCAGTGTAGCTTCATCAAGAGAAAGTCATGCTTGACCAAGTTGGTAAACTTCAACAATGAAATGACTGGCCTGGTAGATGAGGGGTGAGCAGTGGATATTGTCTACCTGGACTTCAGTACCTTCTACCTCTGACACTGTCTCTCATAAGATCCTCCTAGAGAAAATGTTGATGTACTACTGGATAAGCAGACAGGGAGGATCACTGAAAACTGGCTGAACGGTTCAGCCCAGAAGGTGGTAGTCAGTGGCATGAAGGCCAATAACTAGCCATGTATCCAGGGGTCAAAACTGGATCTGGTCCTGTTTAACATCTTCGTTAATGATCTGGATGATGGGCAGTGTACCTTTGGCAAATCTGCTGGTGAAACAAAACTGGGAGGAGTGGCTGATATGCCAGAGGGTCATGCTGCCATCCACAGAAACCTTGATAGGCTGAAGAAATGGTCCAGCAGGAATCTCATGAAGTTCAACAACGAGAAGTGAAAGGTCCTGCACTTGGGGAGGAGCAACCCAGCTTTAAGCAGTTTTGCAGAAAAGGCACTGGAAGTCCTGGTGAACACCAGACTAAATGGGAACCAGCAATGGGCCCTTGCAGCAAAGAAGGTTAATGGTATCCTGGGCTGCATTAGATGAATTATTGGCAGCAGGTTGAGGGAGGTGATCGTCCCCCTTTACTCAGCACTGGTGAGGCTGCACCTGTGTCCAGTTCTGAGCTTTTTAGTACAAGAGACACATGGACATACTGCAGAGAGTCCAGTGAAGGGCCACAAATATGATTAAGGGACTGGAACATCTCTCCTATAAAGAAAAGCTGAGAGACCTGGGACTGTTCAGCCTAGAGAAGAGAAGGCTTGGGGGTGTCTTAGTAACGTATCTAAATACCTGAAGGGAGGGTGTAAATTAGACAGAGCCAGGATCTTTTCATTAGTGCCCAGTGACAGGACCAGAGGCCATGGGCACAAACTGACACACAGGAGGTTCTCTCTGAACTTCAGAAAACATTCTGTTTGCGTTTTTTCACTGTGGTGACTGATACTGCCCAGAGAGGTTGTGGAGTCTCCATCTGTGGTGATACCCGAAAGCTGTCTGGACATGGTTCTGGGCAACTGGCTCTAGGGGACTCTGCTTGATCAGGGGTGTTGGACCAGGTGACCTTCACAGCTCCCTTCCGATCTCAGCCATTTTGTGGTTACCAGACATCAGTATTCCCTCCCCAAGAAGTTATCAGTACCTCAGCCTGCATCAAAGGTGTGTCAGTTTGTGTGATGTACGGAATAGCCCTTCTGCAGGTTAGCCCTGCTGAATTCTATCAAATATTAAACATGAAGATTATGCTGCTTGAACAAATGCCAAATTTAGAAGGATCAGCTATATTCATGTTCGATTCATGCAGCTTTATTATTTGCCCTGCTGTCTGGAAAGAATTGCGGTTGCAGATAGCATACAGCAGCCTGCACAGTAACGTGCTCAAAAAACCAAACCTTTTTTTTCTTGAAATGAGATTTTTTTTTAAGTGATGGAACTAACACAGACCATGGCAGTCTTGTCTCTAATATCTTATTCTGCATTTAATCTGGATTTAACACAGGGAATTGTGGATTGATTGTGGCCACTTTTGTCCTTAAATAACATGAGTTGAAGAGAAGCATGCAAAACCTCAGTGATTGCTGGTATTAAAGAATATGCCCAGGCACCCCTCTAGTAGAATAAATCGTCACGCTATCATCTCAAATAATCATGTCTGCTGGAGAATGAAATATAGTTTGTGTTTGTTTGAGGGTTTTTTCTTCCTTTTTTCTGGACTTAAACACTCATTCTGTGGTATTTACAGCATGCTGTATCCCTCGTTCTTCAGTTTTCTAAGCTGAGTTTCAAAGGAAAACATGCTTTTCCTGTGTTGCCTATTACGTGCTTCTATTAGTTACTGTATAGCCTAAATTGGGGACAGTGACATTGGTCTCAACTGGAATATTTTCTTTCTTCTTCAGTAAGTAATGTGTAGTTTAAACTGCACAGGGAATATTGCAGGAGGAAAATTGAGATTTATTGATTCATGTAATACTAATATGCATTTTCCGTAGGTATCTTCCACGGAGCCTGACCGACCACAGTTTACATTATTGACTTTTGAAGATTTAGTTGCATCTGGTATTCCAGTCGCACCTGAGGATTCTGCATATTGGGATAATTTTTGTTCTAAGCAGGAGAGTCCAGTGAAACAGAATTCACGTTCAAGATAAGAACACTTGTAAGAAAAAGAAAATTGTCAAAGTCGTTATGCTGGAGTGTGGGAATAAGTCTACATCTGTAAATGAAACGTTTTTCCTTATTTAAACTAAGAGTCTGTTTTTCACCTTTTTAAAATTGACATTCTTTATCAATATCTTAAGGAAGATGCGTATCTCCTCACTGAAAGAATTCTGAGTGAACAGTCTAAGCTGACCACATGCTTTTTTGCTTTTCCATGCCTGTGGTTCTTAACACCTTGATAATTTCCCATGCTAAGAACAGGGAGCAGTTACAATAATGTTGATTATTCAACAAGAGTTTAACATATAAAAATGTGTTTCTATACTTCATTTATGGTGAAGCTTAAATTATGATACTGCCTTTTCCTTTACAAAAATAGTAATTTTATTCTCAGATTAATGAAGAAAGCCAAAATTGGTACAAATTCTTTTGCTGTTACTATATGGTGAAAGTGTTTGTATAACACTTTGTATTTGTGTCATAGCAGCCTGAAGAAGTCTGAATCTTAGTAGTCTTGTTCAAAACTTGTTTGAAGCAGGGAATTAACTTACAAATATTTCACATCCTTTTCATTTACAGTCTTTGTTAATTAAAGCTTCCTGTGTGTAACTTAGGATTTTATGTTTAACAGTTCTTTTTGTATATTTTTCCCTCAGCAATAAATGAGCCAAACAGCAGTTCAGTTTTCCTAGATTTGCATTTACATCTGTACTGTCCTAGACACTAAGTCATGGGAGAGAAGGGAGGAAACAACAAAATATAACTATTTACTTCTCCCAAATAGTCTCGTAACATCTGAAGACAGAATATTTTCTTGTCCTGCAGTGAATTAAAATTTCTGGAAAAAATCCATAGATCTTGAGTGCACCTTTAGAGTATTTCCTATTCTTTTTCAAAACAAATCCCATTTTGTGCCATTCTCTATCACTCTCTTTCTAGAAGTCATAGATACATTATGGTCCATCTAAACGTAAAGAAACATACTGAACAGAATGAGTCCTACTGAATGGAATGATTTTCACAACGAAAAAAAGTTAATTTTTGTCCTACAGTTTAACACAGCTCTTCATTGAATTCAAGTTTGTGTACAACTTGGCTGCACCCTGTATTTTGACTAAATAAGAATCTATTTGTAGTATAACAATTGAAGCCATGCCTTATTACGGAGATAAAGAAAAGGTTTAGAGAGAGAAGGATATGAGTTTTATAATATTATACAAGCTTTTGGAGTTTGCTGCAGATAATTCTGAATTCAAATATGCTGTTAATCTTTCCTACTTCTACCAGTTCTGATGAATATTTTTGTTTCCATTCAAATGACTCTCTCATCTCACATGCTAATCAGAGTTTTTAGTGTTCTGCTTTTTTCCTCTAAAACTGCAAATCAGGGAAGCAGTGACTCTTCTCTTCAGACTCCACAGGGGTTAAATTAGATGTTCAGTAACTTCAAATCTGAAGTTAACAGAAATATGGAATAATTTATATACAAAAGTGAAGTATCCCAGGCTGATTTTTTTTACATTAAATACAACATGCAATAAGTATCTGGCACTCCATGGATGCCAGAAAAGTCTATTCAGTGGATACGTAATGGTATCATTTACTGGGATGGCATGTTTTTAACTGAGTTGATTCTGTCTTAATCTATTCTACCTGAAGTGTACTATAATTGCAGATGGGCAAGCACATGAAGGTGCTTAAGAGCTGAGATAACTAGAAGAAGCAAGTCTCTCATGAAGACCATAGAGATGTAGCGAAGCTATGCAGGGAGGAAATAAGGAGAACCTAGCTGCAGCTGTGAAGGATAATAAAAAATGTTTCTATAAATTCATTAAAAACAAAAGGAGGATTAGGGAAAATCTTCCTCCTTTATTGGACACAGAGGGAAACATAGTCACAAAGGATGAGGAAAGGCTGAGGTGCTCAACGCCTACTTCATGTCAGCCTTTAGCAGTGGAACTAGCTGTTCCCTGGACACCCAGCCTCATGAGCTAGGAGACAGGGAGGGGAAGCAGAATGAGAGCATCACGATTAAAGAGGAGGACATCAGTGACCTGCTATGCTGCTTGGATGCACACAAGTCTATGGGACTGGATGGGCTACACCCAAGAGTGCTGAAAGAGTTGGCAGATGCGCTCACCAAACTGCTTTCCATCATTTACAGGAAGTCATGGCTAACTGGGAAGGTCCCAATGGACTGGAGGGTGGCAAATATAACACTCATCTACAAGAAAGGCAAAAAGGAGGACACAGGAAACTATAGACCTGTCAGTCTAACCTCGATACCAGGGAAGGTCATGGAGCAGGTCATCTTGAGTGCCATCAAAACCCACATAATGGGCAACCAGGGGATCAGGCCTGGTCAGCATGGGTTTATGGAAGGCAGGTCCTGCCAGATGAACCCGATCTCCTTCTGTGACAAGATAACCAGATTATTGGACAAGGGAAAGGCTGTTGATATTGTATACCTGGACTTTTGAAAAGCATTTGATACTGTCCCCCATACAATTCTCATGGAAAAACTGGCTTCACACGGCCTGGATGAGCATACAATCCACTGGATCAAGCACTGGCTGACTGGAAGGTCCCAAAGAGTGGTGCTCAATGGATTTAAATCCAGCTGGCAGCTGGTCACAAGTGGTATGCCTCAGGGCTCAGTGTTAGGACCATTTCTCTTTAACGTCTTTATTGATGATCTCGATGAGGACATAGGGTGTATCATCAGCAAGTTCACAGATGACACCAAGTTAAGCAGGAGTGTTGATTCCCAGGAGGATAGGGAAGCTCCACAGAGAGACTTAGAAAGATTGGATCATTGGGCCAACATCAATGGTATGAGTTTCAACAAGGGCAAGTGCCAGGTTCTGCACAATAACCCATGCAGCGCTACAGGCTTGGGGAAGTGTGGCTGGAGAGCTGCCTGGCAGAAAGAGACCTGGGGGTTCTAATTGACAAGCGGCTGAATATGAGCCGGCAGTCTGCCTAGGTGGCCAAGAAAGCCAATGGCATCCTGGCTTGTATTAGAAATAGCATGACCAGCAGAAGTAGGGAGGTGATTATGCCCCTGTACTCGGCACTGGTGAGGCCACACCTCGAGTATTGTGTCCAGTTTTGGGCACCTCAATACAAGAGAGATCTGGAGGTGCTGGAGCGAGTGCAGAGGAGGGCAACGAAACTAGTGAAGGGCCTAGAAGACAA